ATTCAGTTCATCACAAAAGCTCTGAAGGATGAAAGAAAGGGTGTCTGACAATAAGGGGAATGGGCTTAGGAATAAGGTGAGGACCTCAGAAGAAAAGCTGGAGGAATGATCAGAGACATAATTAAGTTCCCTCGAGTTCACACAGACACTGGACATGTTCTGAGAAAATGAAGTATACTAAACCCAGGTAAGCGGCTGGTGCCTAAGTAAAAATATGTTGGTAAAATCCCTCAGAGGGGCGTGCTGACTGAGAAAGATGGGAAAGGTACAGAATGGCATGAGAAACGTGACCCGAGCAGTGATCTCCAAAGCAGCATGCATACCCTGCAAGGCACGTGCGAGACAGTAGATAGATAATCTATGGGGTTTGTGAAGAAAATATTGGGTCGTCAGGAAAATCATGATGCACTTTTGCATTGAAAAACATAGAAAAATATGTCATGCCTTTCCCAAGAACCCAATATTACAGCCTCTGTTTATATTTTATTGTGAGTGCATTTATTTTCTAGTCCCTGAGATTTTTATATCCACGTTGTAATGCACAAAATATTAATACAGAAAGAAGAACGTATGTTTCTTAATTCATTCAACAAATAGTAAAGAGCTGCCCTGGGCTTGACATAGTCTAGACATTGAGGGTACAGTGGAAAACAAGACAGACACGTCTCTGCCCTCATGGAGCTTACATTCTAGTTGACGACATTCTGTTCAGCAAATAAACATCATAAAAAGAGAGGTAGTAATGTTATAAAAAATAAAACATGAGACAGTGGTGGGGAAGGGGCTCATTTATATTGGAAGATCGGGGAACGCCTCTCTGAGGAGGGCACAGCTGGACAGAGACCAGAATGAATAACTGAGGGAGCTAGCCAGGGGAATATATGAGGTAACTGCATTTCAGGCAGAGGCAGTGTACAGGGAATGGATGGTGGGCTCAGGGGCCTGCTCGGGGCTTTGCAGCCAGTGGCATAAGGCTGGAGGTGTGGGCTGGTAGAAGCAGTCACCCAGGGTGCAGGAAACAAGGGGTGTAGATAACAAGCCTGTAGAGAATTTAAAAATAAAACCAACTATAAGTTAATCTGCTTCTTATTGTCATCATGTGCCTGTCATTCTAAACAACACCAGTGATTAAAAAAAAAAAACCCAAGAGACAACTCCTCCATGCAGTAAAATTTCCATTAATAAATGTGAAAGAGAAGAGGGCAATAGAAAATAATGATTGATTACACACCACAGCAATAATTGTTGCAGATAAGATCCATCAATGGATGCTAAGATTAGTGGGGAAACCTTTGAAGAGAAACAGGATTTTCATAAGTTCAGAGTATCTCCCAACCAAGCTACCAAGCATTAACATCACCAACAATAAGATATGTTGACATCATGGAACTCCTTGAAGTGCCCTGAGAGGGACATGGTATATTTTCTGTGGTACTTTTGCCATAGATGTAAAAATGAGATGCATGAGGGACATTCAACAAAATAACTGAAAAATGTCAAGGTCACGAAAGACAAGGGCACACTGAGGAGCTGTGTCACAGATTGTAGGAGATTAAAGCAAAATAACAACTAACTGAGAAGTGGGATCCGGTATAGGATCCCAAAACAGAAAAAGAACATAAGTGAAAAACAGGTAAAACTTGAATAAGGACAGTAGTTGATTTAATAGGCGTGCACCATTGTTATTTTCCTGGGTTTGATCATTGCACTGTGGGTAGGATGTTCATTTAGGGAAAGCTTGGTGAAGACTACGTGAGAATTCTCAAGTATTTATGCTTTTGTAAGTCCAAACATAGTTCAAAATGAAAAAGGTAAAGCACATTTTTTTATTATGAAATACACATTCTTTAGAATTAGTTTCAGCTATACAACACAGTGCAATAAATAGTTAAAGCATTTTTTTTTAAGATTTTTATTGGGGAATTTGGGGGATGGGAACAGAGCTGGGAATTTGGGGAAGGGGAACAGACATTAAAGCATACTTTTTAAAGATTTAAAAATGCTCCTTTCAGCCAGGGTGAACCGTTGGCATTATCTCCCCAAACCCCCTGGTGCACCCCTCTATAGCTCTGCTCAGAACTTTGCAATTTTTTCTTACTGTGTTGAGAATCCTCTGGAGGTTTGAGAGCAGAGAGGTGATATGGTTTGGTTTTTATAACTATATTGTGGATGTTTGTTGAAAATTTTATTTATTTTTAAACTAAATTTATTAGGGTGACAATGATTAGTAAAATTAAAAAGGTTTCAAGTGCACAATTCTATAATACATCATCTATATATCACATTGTGTGCTTATAGGAGTGTCCAATCCAAAAAGTTGGAGGCTATTAGATTAGGAAATGGTATAAGGAAATTATTTTACTAAGAGGAAAACCCAATGGCTTTTTTTGATAAACGAGAAATTATTACACAAATAATTCTATGGTCTGAATGAGAAGATGTGAGCTGAAGGTGCACTATAAAATGATTTTAGTCAAGAATAAGCATGTCTGTATTTAAGCTTGTTCAATCTGAAATTTGGAGCTTAAGGGTTATGTGATCACTTTCTGCGATTTGATTTAGGAAAAGTGTTATCTACAAGACAGTTTCTCAGAATCACTTTGAACTTTATGACATTATATTACTCATTCCTCTGTCCTTAAATTTTCTTTTTTAAATGATGTATATAAATGGATTTGTTTAAAGATCTACACTTTGCATAATCATCTTAGTGTCCACGAAGTTGAACATAATGTCAGCCAAGAGGTCTCAACTTGGCAGACTGTGGGCAGAATGTAGCTCATATGTGTGCTTTGTTTGGCCTGAAAGGTACCTTAAAAGAGTTGATGTGAACATTTTAAAATCACGGTTTTATATAGGAATCCAGATTTCTATCTTCTCATGAAAAATTGGAAGATCTAGCCACACTGGGCCTACATTCCCACAAGGCGACAATCAAAAGTTGAATTGGTGTAGCCTCCTTTAGATGAGGCACATCCTTTCCAGGCCAAGAGCCCGCCCTTACTGTTCATTTATATTCTAGTGTATATAGTAGGTTTAGGTTATACACCTAGTCTTCCTATAGTTATTTAATTTGGGGGCACGTACCTTCATAATATCCTTTTTTCTTCACCCTTCTAGGAATCCCCCTTCCCAGAAGATAAAGATCGCAGATTTGTCTTCTCTTATTTTCTAGCCACCGACATGATCAGTATCTTTGAGCCTCCCGTTCGCAATTCTGGTATCATTGGGGGCAAGTACCTCGGCAGAACTAAAGTTGTCAAACCACATTCTTCAATGGAAAACCCCATCTACTATAGCCCTAGTGACTTCTTCATTGGTGCTGTGATTGAGGGTAGGTCACACATAGGTTAGACTTTTTGAGGAGCCAAGTGAATGGGTTCTTCTTCATTGGAATTTAATTCAGTTAACTCTTGTAAGAGGCAGTGAGGGTGCATTTCAGCCAAGATTAAGTTAATATTCTTCAATATGTGGCACAGTGTCTTAATCCCTTTCCTTATCAATTGTAAATCGGTTGCCTTTGTTGGCTATAGCTGTAGACCTGAGCTTCCTAAACACTGAGCAAGTGACTGCATATTATTGGGTTGTCGGAAACGTCATGATGCATTTTTGCAACAAAAAACATAGAAAAAATACGTCATGACGTTTCCGACAACCCAATAGTTTAGAGAACTATTGAAAGTTCATTCATCTAGGTCGCATATCTGTGAATTTGTTATTGGAGGATCAGTACTATTTTATTTTACTCCTGATTGCATGATAAAAACATAACCCAGCTAAGTGTATTTCTGTCCTCTCCCCAGTGTTTGGCCACCGGTTTATCATCCTTGATACGGACGACTATGTTTTGAAATATATGGAGAGCAATGCTTCCCAGTATTCACCCGAAGCACTCTTGTCAATTCAGAACCGTATTCGAAAGCAAGAAGCTCCTGCAGCAGAATTGGAAACGTATGTTTGATTGTCTAGGGTTCATTTTGGCTTTGACTCATAGGAGATATTCAGGAAATAGTTCTTGATAAAATGGATGGGTAATTGCATTTTAGATTTTCAGATTTCCCTCACCAAGTAGGAGTTCTTAACATACATAGAAGGTTTTCTGGGTCCAATATAACAATTAGTAACTTAGACCTTTATCAACTTTATTTAGCAAATAACCATGGAATGCCTCATATGGGTCAGATACTATCGATAGGCCGCTGGGCTTTTGTCATTAAAATAGAAAAGAAGTCATTGCCCTCATGGAGTTAATCTTCTAAGCAGTGGGAGATAGCCCATAAACAACACAAGTGAATTACGAGGTGTGATCAAACAATATGGTGAATGTCTAAATTTAAAAAAAATTATTACAGTAAAAGACACATTGCCATTCATCCCCCTCAAAATACTCCCCCTTTGCTCCAAACACACTTATCCCATTGTTCTTGCCACTTTCTGAAGCAGTTCTGGAAGTCCTCTTTCATGAGTGCCTTTAGTTGCGCTGTTGTGGCTGCCTCCATGTCCTGAATCAGTTAAAAAACATTTACCTTTCATGGTCATTTTGACTTTGGGAAAGAGCCAGAAGTCGCACAGCCAGATCCGGTGAATAAGGTGGCTGACGATACACTGTAATATTTTTGACAGAAATCGCCTTACCAGAAGCGATGTGTGACACAGAGCATTGTCATGATGGAGGATGATTTATGGAATACTTTAAAACACACCTTCTCTCAACCATAGCTCACACCTGACTGCACTGAACAAGTTGAAACTTGTCACACACTGTTACTAAGGTTCAACGCGCCACTTCCCATATTGAAGACCCCTGCCTTTCCATGGGATGGCATCGGCAGGAGAATTCACTGTATTTTGTGATCACAACGGAAAGGCTCTGTGTCACAAATTATTTGACAGTTTCTGTCAAATAAAAACATTACAGTGTGTCCGCATCCATCTTATTCACCGGATCTGGCACCATATGACTTCCGGCTCTTCCCGGAAGTCAAAATGACCATGAAAGGAAAATGTTTTGAATCAATTCAGGACATCGAGGCAGCCACGACAGCACAACTAAAGACACAAAAGAGGACTTCCAGAACTGCTTCAGAAAGTGGCAAGAATGATGGAATAAGTGTGTTTGAAGCGAGGGGGAGTATTTTGAGGGGGATTCATGGCAATGTGTCTTTTACTATAATAAATGTTTTAGATTTAAATATTCACCGTATTTTTTTTTATCACACCTCATCGTTTGGTGACTAGGCAGCATTAAGAGCTGAGTTGAGATTTATGATCGTACATTTAAGTCAAGCACTTCTCAAAATTATTTTTCTTTAATTTTTTCATGTCAATGCAAATACCAGCAATACTGGAAAGTTTCTTGCTTGAACATACTACCAGTAGAGTCCTTTTTTTTTTTTTTCTGATTTAGTATTAAATAGATGGTGCTGTGGCCCTTAAAATGAGATGCCAATAAAAATAAAGAGAAACTGAAGTTCTAAGTTAAGAGATCCTTTGCTATTCTTATTTGACCCTCACCACCTCTCTATTCCCTTTTGATGGGTCAGAGAGATGTGAGAGAAAAAGTACTTGAAGATGATAGGAATCCAAGTGTCATGCCTTCCATGTCTTCTAGCCATTTTGTCTTTGGCTTTTAACTCCTCCCATCTGGTAAAGAATCCTCTGCAAAGAAACATAAATCCCTTATTTGACTAGTCATTGCTAAGAGTAATGAAAGGGGATCCCAAGTACTTGTCAGGCCTGAGTAATTTTTATATCAAATGTCAATTACAGAATGATGAAATTTGAAGTTAGCCATTTTCTTTTTCTGAGCCAGAAAACTAAAATAGTGCATAGGTAATTATTAACTTCATCTGAAGTTCTTTTGGGTTTTGGGTCCTCATTGCAATATATTCAGCTCAGAATTCTAGATAACAAACGCTCATTAATCCACCCCTCTACAGGAAATCTACATGTGCGAATAACATAAACACACACATGTGTTCATATATATTATTCTTGTTCTGTTAGCATGCCCATTTGTGCTCTTCAGCTCAGGAGGACCTCCTCCACTGCTCCTTTTAATCCTCTTTGCACTTCCAGCCACTTTTCCCATATAGATGTTTCCAAATATTCTCATTTCTTTTTTTTTAGTTATTATTTTTTATTGTGAAATACACATTCTTTTAGAATTAGTTTCAGCTGTACAACACAGTGCAATAGTTATATTTTTTACCCCTTGAGGTGACAACTCCCCTCCCCCAATCCGCCACGCCACTTCCCCCACAATAGCATACATATCTATGGCACAAATATTCTCATTTCTTTGTCGATTTTTTTAAGTCCCCAGCTCTTCCATATTCACTTTGCAGTTGGTCTCAAAAATGAGATCAAATGATCCACTGTGAGCTTCTTCAATTTTCCCACTCTTCACCTTAGAATGCTTCTGTACTGTCAATTATCTTCTCTTTAACTTCTTGTCAGAGATAAGTAGCTCACACTTCTCCAAATTTAATTCTTCTGTTTAGTGTTTGTTACCACATCCTTTCTGACTGCTTCATAAAACTCTTCATAAATTCCTTTCTTAAAGGTTATTGATTGTTTCCAAATCTAATGGACTCTTGTCATTTATTCATCAATTCAACAGATATTTGTGCTTACACCACCTGCCAGACCTTAATAAATGCTTAGACAATTATATGAGAGAGGGCAGGAGTTCGCAAACATTTGTGTAAAGAGTTAGGTAGTAAATAGTTTAGGTCTTGTGGGCCAGTACTATCTCTGTTGTAACTACTCAGCTCTGCCCTTATAGGGTGAAAGCAGCCACAAAGGTAAATGAATGGCTGTCACCGTATTACAATTAAATGTTGTTTAGAAAAACAGGCAGCAGTCTGGTTTTGGCCTGTGGGCTGGAGTTTGCCCACGCCCTGGTCTCCATTTAGCCTTTTTCATCTACATATAATAAAAGTTGCTCTTTACCACCTCCTTTTAGTGATTTTTTTTTTTTTTTAGCTGAGCCATCCTGCCACCTGTTGGCAGCTCAGCTGGGGCCGGGAATTGAACCGACAACCCTGTTGCTTATAGCTCACACTCTTGAGCGAGCTCTTAACCAACTGAGCCACTCGGCTGGCCCCAACCACCCCCTTTTTGAAACCCTCTCTTTTGAGTTAAGTTAGAGCCTCTGTTATTCCTCCTACTTCTCAGAAAGCCTATTCATTGTATCTTTTTCCTAAACTGCTGTAGTGTTTAGCCATGTCCACAGCTTATGGACTGCTGTGTGGGCGGCTTACCCCACTGAGTGGAAATAGCCTCAATGGGCTCTGATGCCTGTTGAGACCACCCTTTGTGTATGCCACTTGTGGGGCTAATTGGGTGGTGCTGTGCTGTGGTCTGAAACCAATCTCCAAGGATGTTGGTTCTGGGGCCTCTTGGGAGAGGTTTTGGTTCAGGCCCAGGTCACTCACTGCCTGTGATTGTCTGGGGACTAACTTGTGGGACTACAAAGTGATTAATCCATGGTTGTTTGCAGCCTGTGCTAAACTTGGAGGCACATGGGAGAGGCAACACTGTGAACCAAGGATGGCTGCGAACCGGGCCTGGGGTAGTTGTGCAAAATGCCAGGACACCCCAAGGCCTGCTCTCTTAGAGCTCAGCTACAGATAGAGCCTCTTGCAGTACACAAGTTGGGTGAGGCAGGGTCTCAGGGAGTCACTAGAGTGGGATGAGTTGTGGTCACCAGGTTAATGTAGATTCTGGATTGGTGCCAGTGCTGAGCCTGGAGCTACTCAACAAAAGTCTCAGTTTCCACCTGCCTGGAGCTTACAAACACCTGAGAGTTGTCCAAGAAAGAGTGCAATGCAGGTGAGGCTGTCTCCTGGCCTAGAAGGTTTCTTCAGTGTTGGGGGAATTCAGTAGGGTGGGGTCCCAGTGAGTCAGCATGGGGGAGCAGCAAAGCTCACCAGGCCAATTCAGATTGAGATAGGGCTGTGTGGGGGAGGGCTCAACACAGGAAAGATGGCACCTGCCTGCTGGCCACATGGTAGAAGGACCCCACACAGGGAAAATGATGACTAGCCTCCAGTCCTTGCTTTGAAGCCACACAACTCAGTCTCCACCTGTATGTCTTTGATGCTCCTCTGCTGTAGCCCAGGGTGAGTGCCTGTGAGTGACTTTGTGTGCAGGCCCTTTAAGAAAATGTCTGGGTTTCCCCTAGCCTTCAGTCTCACCCGGATGGTCAGGATCCCCACTGTTTTTCATAGCCAGATGTTGTAGGGGCTTCTCTTCCCAGCATCAGTACTCTGTGCTGGGGAGCCTGGTCTGGGGTTGGGGTCCCTCACTCCTCTGAGGGGAACCTGTATGGCTGAGATATCCCTCTTGATTATCAACCACCACATGCAGGTATGGGGCTGGCCTGTTTTGCATCGCCACTCCTCCTACTAGTCTCGACGTGGCTTCTTCTTTATATTCATAGTTATAAAACTTCTGTTCAGCCAGATTTCAGATGGTTCTCCAGGTTGATTGTTCTATAATTTAATTGTAAATTTAATTTGTTCACAGAAGGAGGTGCAGGGATAGCATCTATCCACTCTGCCATCTTGGATCTGTCCTGGATAGCTTTTACTTCTTTTTCTTGCCTTATTGCTCTGGCTATATCTGAGTTGAACAGAGTGGTGAGAATGGGAATCCTTGTCTTGCTATGATGTTAGCTGTGCATTTGTCATATGTGGCCTTTATAATATTGGGTATGTTCCTTCTATACCTAATTTGTTGAGAGCTCTTATCATGAAAGGGTTTGTCAAATGCTTTTTCTGTATCTATTGAGATAATTATATGATTTTTACCCTTCATTCTGTTAAGTGATTGATGTATTACATCTATTGATTTGTGTATGTTTGAATCATCCTTGATACAAAGGATAAATCCTACTTGATCATGGTGTATGATCCTTTTAATGTGTTACTGAATTCAGTTTGCTG